ATGGTAAAAGGGACTCATAGAAAGTACTTTCATGATAGCTACATTTTAATCCCCCTAGATTACGAATCCCCACACTGTGCGGCGCGCCTTTTTGTGTAATACTGCGTGTTATACGATCCGCCCTACGACATATACCTATACATATAATTATTTTTGCAGCGCACGCCAGAATTGCACGCAGATGGCATATTTTTTGCCCTTTGAGTTATTCTGATGTATAAGCTATATTTTTTTTTATACACACCAATTAGCCTAGCCCCAAAGTAAGCAATGTAAGGCTTGTGTTATGGGTGCTAGGGTAACGGATAGAATGCATATACTGTACATATATAAGTATATTTATATAGAAGTACATATTAAACATCCATGACTGGAGTACAAATGCTAGTATTCATCACACAAACATCTGCCCCCACCGGAAACCCGGCGTACAAACAACACGGCCACGGAGGTCGTAAGTCGTAAGTATAATTGTTAAGTTTTATTTAAATAATCATTCATTAGTTTTTGCGTAAAAGAGTAACATACATACATACCTACAAAATTTCGCGTTTATAATATAATATTAGTAAGATATGTGAAGATGAGTTTGTCCACAACTTATTTTTTTTTACCTATATATTTAAATGTTTCAGGCGCATCCAATGGCTACGAGTTATCGATCACGAAGATTTGTCTCATCAGTCAAGATAATGCACGAGTATGTGAAGCACATTTTAAGGCTGAAGACATTTCCGTTAACAGTAAACGAAAAAGATTGAGGAAGAATTGTTTGCCATGTTTACGTTTGCTTACGAAAAAAGATAATAAAGAGACTCAAACTCATATAACGACATATAACGTTTCAAGCCAAATTGATTTACCGACATGTAGTGTTTCAAACCAAGCAGAGAAGATCAATAGTACTTCGGAGAACTCGATTCAGACTGCCGATGCCGCTTCGCTTTCTGCTGATACTCCGCGTAAAAGGAAACTAAAATCTAATTTGTCAAATTTAAAAAAACGATTAAAAGTAAATCAAATAGGAGAGGGTTCCGGCACAGTCGGGGTATACTGTGCTTCAGGTAAATGGTAAAGAGATATGTTCATTAAGCTATGTGATCACCTTTTATCGAAGAACTTAGCCAATATTGTAAAAGCGGAAGTGTTTCTAAAATCAAGTTATAAAGGTAACAGATACACTCTCGCCTACAAAATGTTTTGCTTGTATTATTTCAGCTGACAAGCCTACCGTTTATTACAATAAACTTTGTGCCTGCCATGTAAAACTACGCTAGCTAAGCTGTACATTCCTATAACTACGCAGCTAAATGACGATTTAATGGCTGCTCTGAAATTAAAAGGTAACAATATGTTTGTTAAAGAGAAACAGTGCACTTTAGTAGTGGATGCAATGAGCCTCAAAACGAATCTCTTTTATAATATTAATTAAGGACGACAAAATCATCGGGTTTCACGAAGAAGATGGCGTACAATTACCGCTACCGGCGAAGCATGCTTTGGTTGTGTTAGTAAGAGGTATTTTCACAAAATGGTCCCTAGCAATAGGGTTCGCTATGTTATCGGAATGTAAAAGTGATGATCATATATCCAAATGGATCGATAAAATTATAGTAAAACTGTATGAAGTTGGGTCAAAAATAAGAGTGTTATCTGATCTTGGATCAGATTTATTGAACGCAGCTAAAAAAGGAGGAATTTCTGTGGAAAAATCGTATTTCACTGTTAATGATCATAAAACCTTCTATTACATTTATGCCGCTCCTCATTTAATAAAATAAGTTCGCAATAACTTGATGACATATGATTTTCATTTACAACATGGCGGAGTTTGTAAAATATGAACACAGATAAATTTTACGATAACGATAAAAAGAGCACTTTTAGGCAAGCTTTTTAGTTAACGAACAGCCATATGTCCTAGAAGCTTTGAAAAAATGAAGGTCTGATATGCGACGCAACTTTTGAGTAGGTCCGTTGCAGCTGACTTATCAACGTATGTACATTTTAAAATTATTCACGAATCTGCATGGCAAACGGTTGAATTCGTAAAAAAATATGAATGATTTATTTGACATACTGAATTCCTCGACTTATCACAGCTATGTGTACAAAAGTGCTTTTTGCGGAAATACCAATCAAATAGACTTTTTTTTAATAACATATTAATGCTTTTTCAAACATTAAAGTTATTTAATCCGAGAAACGGAATCGATGTTACAAAAATAGTTAAATTTATTGATAGCTTTCAAATCACTATCAATTCTATATGATCTTAAGCAAGAATAATTTAAATATTTATTGACAAGACGCCTCAATCAGGACGTTTTCGAGAATTAGATTGCAAAACGGTATGGCTACAGAACCGACTAGCAGGCAGTTCATATCTGCATATAGGTAAAAATATTTTGCTTAAATCTCATAGCCACCAAAAGAAGGCAATTGTGCTGAAGATCTAACAGAATTTCTTGTCAATTTAAACAACCACCAGCATATTGAAACAGGTGCCAGGGAAATCGATGAGCTTCTAACCAGCAGTAGCGATACCAATGAAACACCAGAACAAGAAAATGTTTTGCGTGAAATCTTACATTCTGACTATGCACAGTTTGAACTTCCTGAAAAAATGCCTTTTTTATGTTTGTGGTGCTTTGTAAAAAGGTATGTTGATTATCACCAAGGTTGTGAGTTTTCAAAAGTCTACATTGATGTTAATCAGCGTTCTTGCAATTTAAGCGCCGAAATAACAACTTACAAAAATTATGCGACAGATCGAAAGGAGATTGCTCAGCTTCCATACATGTTTTGCCTAAAGACCAATAATTTTGTTATGTTTTTAATATAACCATATTTTAGATTTTTAGTGTATCACACCTTATAATTTTATTTATTTATTAATTTATAGTTAGGCAACGTAGGCCCATAGATAGAATTAAATTAAAATCTAACATATATACAGATTATAATGTGTTTATGGAGGTGTTAGGCGAAAAATGTATGGCAATATACCTTATGATGTCGCCTACCATCTTTAATAATTATCTGAGCATATTTGCATGTAGTGAAATGATAATATAGTGGTGGATATTGATACCACAGTATAATAAAAAAAATGACATATTTTTATCGATCTTGTCAAAATAAATTTGTTTTTATTTTATATAAACAACTTCGATCAGTCTTTGGCTGAATGTTACTACACCCATAGCCATTAAAAATGATTCGTATGTTTTCCAAACCGGTAAAATTAAAAGTCTTTTTTAAAGTAAATATATAATACAAAGGTGTCCGTTGAAATCTAATGACTGTAAATTAAATTATAAATAACGCCAAGAATTACCGTGTATGTCAATATTTTTTGTGCATTTGGGCCAATTTGAGCAATCTCCTTTCCTTATGATCCCACCCGATGATTTTGTTGCCAATATAGAGAGGATGGAGCAGGTAAACATTAATATTGGCACATTAATTTTTCAACAATTAAAAGACATTGAATTTACTATGCCCTGCCCATGCTTCCCTTTTGATATGGAATTATTAAAAAAGGGATTGAGTATTTCGTGATTATAAATAATAATACTAGTCAAAACAAAATAAGGGCTACTTGTAAATTTAAACACGACTGATTTCATTATTTTAAAGCAATCTTAAACTTTCTTATCTTTGGTGTGGTATTTCCTGAAGTGTTAACAATCATAATGTGAGGTTACCACTTGCATTTTTTTTAAGTGGATACTTTTGTACTTTTTTTTGTAAGCACTTGAATTTACCCTATTTTAAGACGAATTCTTAAGTCATTTAAACTGTGCATTCCTTTGTAAACAGTCTTACATTTGCTAAGTTAGAACGTGGATTATCATTTTAAAAGCACTATGCCGATGATTCGTAGACATATGGACCTGCAAATCGCAACTAGAGCCATCACATTGATCCAAGAGGGACATTCGCAGCGTTACGTAGCTTTAGAAATGGCATTTATTACATACATTGAGGAGATAATAAGACCTCATGTGGTACCACAAAGAATTGGTGCAACATTCACCTTAATGTACGATAATGTCCTCGCTCATACAGCTAGAGCTACTAGGGAAGCTTTAGACGAAGCCGGTTTACGTGTCTTGCCGTGGCCTGCCAACAGTCCGGACCTGAACCCCATCGAACACATGTGGGATTTGTTAAAAAGAAGTGTCCGGGACACAAATCGTACAAACGTACAACAGCTTATTAACGTGCTCAAGTCAAGCTAGGAACGAAATTCAGAAGAGACAGTGCGACATCTAGTGGAAAGTGTGCCATCCAGGCTTCAAGAATGTGTTCGAAAAAGAGGAGGACTCACACGATATTAAAGCAATGCAAAAAACATAACAATCCTTCAACACGTTTGTTTTCCTAAGTGTATTTTTGCAGACATTGCATTTTTTTTATATAACCCCAATATATTGTTCTTTTCCTATCAATAAATTAAATTTTAAGGTGTTTGCAATAAAAGTAGGCTAAAAAATCCAATTTAATTAATTATCTAGCCTGAAACCCAATACATATATTAGAAAACGGAAAAAATACGGTGTCCCTTATGACTTTCATTTATACCTCATTTTATTAGCTAGTAAAACATTACATTATTATAATAAAATAAATATTCATATATTTTAAAATACAGTGCAGCCATTATACACAATTATTCAACAAAATAGGGACAACCCTAGCGCCAAGAGAAAGCTAATAACTCGCCGACGACAGGCCGCAGATACATTACTGTTCTGGGTATATATACGTGCTATTAACATATTGGCGTATTTGGAGATAATTTGTTTATGCGGCATTCATTTGTTTTTCAACATTCTTTTTTTATGACGAGGACAGAAAAGGGAATATTAGTATGCGTGTTAATAGTGCAACGGAACCAATTAGTGTCGTCTGCACCAGTAATGGTGCAAGTCAATGGTGCATTCGGTAAAACGGCGTCGAGGGAACCCGCTAGATAGTTGATTTTATTTTAGCTGCAGACGTACCACCTGAGCCCCTGCTTTTCTGTCGGGGATGTCTCGTCACCGGGGTCAGACTGTTCGATCTACAATCGACGGAATTGAAGACCATATTCGAAGAATTCGTCGGAAAAACGGTGAGTATTTAACTGCTTAATGTGATACCTATGGTCTCCTTGCAGATTCTTTCAGCTGGAAATAGAAATGTTGTGTATAAAGCAAAGTCGCTTCCTGCTGTCTGTCTGTCTGTCCCTATGTATGCTTAAATCTTTAAAACTACGCAACGGATTTTGATGCGGTTTTTTTAATAGATAGAGTGATTCAAGAGGAAGGTTTATATGTATAATACATGCATAATATAGTAGAGAAACACTGATAATTTTAGAGGTTTTTAATGTAAGGTCGTATATAAACACATTTTTTGCGTTTACATTGCAAACGCTGGCTGAACCCCACGAGATGGATCAAAATAATTGAATATAGTATTGTACACCTTAAAAAGGTCTACAAAAAAGTCCGCGATAGAAATATAGTCTATCTCTTAGGGATAACCCACAATAACCATTTTTATCCTATCCTTTTTACGAGAAACAATAGCTTATTTACGAAGCGATTATCAGCAATATAACATTCATCCTTATCTAATTAAGTACCTTCAATACATTTTGCATTTAATATAATTAGGTGTTAGAAGAATGTCATTGTGTATAATATAAGCCTGAAACAAAAACTATAGTCTATACTACAGCTCTACCTACACCGAAGCGAAGCGAGGGCGGGCCATTAGTTACGTATATTTATAACGTCAATAACATAATTACAAGAAACGGTTAACCGTGCCTCCATTTTTCCACTACATTGCACTAGATATTTTTTAAGTGCCTTGTTGTGAATTAAAATGCCCTGAAGACTCTTAGAAATGCACTAGATCTAGAGCGAAAGCACTTAAATGACAACACTGGGGCCGCGGCCCGTCTGATGTAGGTCATGCACTGTATATGTTACGGGCAATCTGTATAATTCGGTATTCTATACAATACCTAGGCAATGAATAGATTGCCAAAAACGTCAAGGTAATGTAACGGGGGCTCGATGGCGCGGGTGGTAAGCGCGTTCGGCTGCGATCGTTGAGGTTAGGCAACTTTCGTGGTGGTCGGTCATTGGATTGGTGACCAAAAATCTTCTACCTCGCGTTCTTCCGTGCTTTGGAAGGCACGTTAAGCCGTTAGTCCCGGCTGCATCTGCAGTCGTTAGCACCCGCCAATCCGCACTGGGCCCGCGTGGTGGGTCATGGCCAATCTCTATTCCATCCATAAAGAGGTTTGTGCCCCAGCAGTGAATACATTAATAGGCTGATGATGATGATGAATGTATTAAATATTATTCTTTTTGTCTAGGTATTTTATACAAATGTCGAATGCATAGTCGGCAATGTGTGTAAGAGAAAATAGCGCGTCGTTATTGCCTTGTTTTATATTTTTCTATTATCTAAGAAGTTCTAGAGAAAATTCGACACGGCCATCCGAGCCGCAGTAGCATAATGGTCAGTGCATTCGCCTGGATAACGAAGGGTACGGGTTCGAATCCCGTCCGCTACCTGGTTCGCGTGGAATTTTTCTAGTAAAATTTTCTTTAGATTTAAATACATAATTTGTTATTGTTATTTGTCGTCAGAGGGTGGGGGAGGCGAGTTACTGGTTGTGCGCATGCTGCGCCATGTTGCTCGACAAGTTCACACAGTTTAGGGACAGGTGCCGGCGCGCGGAAGACTTGATGTGGAACTTGTGGAACGAAAAATTGGTGAGCCTTAAGGCGCTATCCCACGACCTGTGTTGTCGCGGGCGAGGCCGCGCCGCGCAGGTTTGCCAAATGTATGAAAACTCTAACGTCGAGATTTAGCAGTCTTTATACATGATACGAGATAAATAGAAATCTCGTACACTTTGTTATGGCATAATAAATCTGTACTTACTGAGGCGATCTTTTGTGACCTGGACATTTATTTACTTTCTGATAATATGTTTGGTTTGTGTACATCAACATTATACATATAATTACAAGAAAAGATTACAAGAAATCTCGAACGTTAGAGTTCTCATACGTTTGGCAACCCTGCGCGGCGCGGCCTTGCCCGCGACAACACATGTCGTAGGACAGCGCCTTGAACGAGTCTATGGGTGTGTTCCGTAATATAAACCAGTATACTGGCCAGTGCTAATGACGTCAAGAATCGACGCCATGCTGTTGATTCGTTCCAAAATTTCCAAATACACTGATCAGCGCGGTGACGTCATGAACTGGCGCTATATTCAAGCAGTCTCGTGTTTGTGTGCAACGTTCATGCGCTCAAAATTATAACAAAGTGTGTAAATCCTTCATCGATCAAAACTATTTTTTCTGTTTGTTGAGATTCCATTATTATCAATTTAATACCTTCACTAACTGCAGAGCGTATACACCCAGCTATTATACGTCACAGTATTCTCACCAGCATAATATGGCGGCACACCAGTGCAATATGGCGTCGAAATCTTGACGTCATTACCGCTGGCCAGCGTACTGGCTTAAGTTTCGGAACACACCCTATATAATGCGATTCAAATAAGAATAGGAAAGCCAATGACCTCCATCTGTCAAACGTCGCTTGTAAAGTACAGTTTACAAAAAAATCTCGGAACAATTTTTTAGCACCCATCTAATTCTAGAATAAAAATCAAACATTTTTAAACAAACAATAACAAATCAACAATATTAGTTGATATTTTTTTTCATTTATTGAGCTTTGGCTATGAATGGTTGATAACCTAATCGTCAACCAAATGTCACTTTATGTAACGTTCAGAAACTCGATTTAAAACTTTCGTTTACATGTAGGATGCATGTTCGTATGTGACCTGCATGATTATTCATATCTACTCCGGCGGTAATGCAGAGATGAGCGGAATTGAAGAGCTAGATTCTGATTAATGTTATTTCTCATACAGTCTTAATAAAGAAATATTATTAAAAATCGGTTGCTTTTTCTCTCAATCTTAGTAAATTAAATTTATTAAAAAATCTGATGTTTTTTCTCACTTAATCTAAGTAAATAAGTTTTATTAAATAGATTTTTTTTGCTCACTCTACCTATTTGGTTTGAATTGACAGCCTTGACGTCAAAATATGTCGCCCAGTTGGTCCTATTCTTAGTTGAATCGCATTATACTAATATTATAAAGATGTAGAGCTTGTTTGTTTGTACCTATGCTCATTGACCACAGGACATCTGGTACAGTTTGAAAAAATCTTTATGTGTTGGATAGTGCATGTATCGAGGAGGGCTAAAAGGGCTCATTGGGTACCTTACGCTACGACTAATTGGAGTGGAACATCGATGAAGAATGTTACGAAAACGGGGAAAAATATTCCATTTGGGAGCTTCCGTTGCGTGCACTGCGTAAATGGTTAAAGTTACACAAAAAACATTTATGACGGAATTGTACCCATTTTAAAGTTCTATAATAAAAGTCCGCGACAGCGTGTATCCATCTTCTAAGCTTGACTCACTATAACCTTATATGTTAAGTAAAATGTGTGTACACACACTAAGTGACTGGGCTACTGCTTCCTGTTCCATACCCGATATCCTTGTGCACTCCTTTTTTTTGCTTATTAAAAGCAGTAGTCCCTCAGCCTTTTACAAAATTCAAACATTTTTATTTATCGTTGAATAAAGTACAAAAGCAAAGTTTTTAAAATAAAAATGAGGGTTCTGGTTATTTTTCGATGTAAACAATCAGACAATAGTCATTTAAAACAGACTCATTGTATGTACCTGCTTATCATTATGATTTTCATAAAAATAAATAGATATTATATGGGATGGTAGTATAAACTATCTTTCCATAATTTCAGAAAATTATCTAGCAATATAATATGAATACTAATGATAAGTATTATTAACTAAGGATACCTATGGTCGCGTAGGTATATTGCAGTTATTAAAGCTATTTATTACAAATGCTTGGAATAGAATTGAATTTAAAAAACAAACAGTTTAAAACGGTAGCGCTCATTTACATGAGAAAGTCTCATAATACTTACTCTAAGGATGACATGACAGCAAATTATGTAGTAGTTACAGAACTTTAATTTTTCATTTTTTACCACAGAATGTCCGTTTACTTTGCATAATTGCTAATGAAGTAAAAAAATAATAGAAAGGATATAATGAAGGACATTCGTTTGTGCATGCTGGGGCAGATTTCGTGGATGTGACTTCATGCGAAATTTCAAATCAATATATACCTATCTCATGTAATGTTTTAATTATATGAATAAAAAAAAATAGGTATCCAATACTTTTTGATGATCTTTTTGATATAGAAGGAGAAAAAAGTTAGTCAAATCTTCCTTGTATTATATATATTCCTTATATATTTATCCGTCATAATATGTTTCAGTTGAACGCGCACACCGTGAAATCGATAGACAGGACATATCACAAACTAAACTTGAACTTGGCGACATCCAAACCCACGTATATAGGAACAGATACCATATTGGTAGATTATGAAGAAATGACATCGAGAAAAAGAAAACATATGGGATATGAAGAGGAGGAAGAAATAAAAGTGAAAGAGGATAAACAAAACTTGGATGAGAAAGAACATGTAAAATTGAAAAAGGGTGAACATATACCATTGGGAGAGGAAAGACATATAAACTTAAAAGAGGGAGAAGATATAATAATTAAAGAGGAAGTGTCTGTAAAATTAGAACAGGAAGATCATATGCAATTGGATGAGGAAGGACAGATACAATTGGAAGAGGGAGGAAATATACAATTGGAAGAGCAAGAACATATACAATGTAAGGATGGAAAACGTTTAAACGTGGGAGGGGAAGAACAGATACAATTCGAAGAGGAAGAACATGTACACTCGGAAGAGGAAGAAGATATAACAATTAAAGAGGAAGATTATATAACAATTGAAGAGGAAGAACCGTTAAATTTTGATGCGGAAGATGGAGCATAGCCAAAGGAAGAATAACCAAAAATCAAAACAGAAAATGTGGTCGACGATGATTCAATTCAAGAACATGTAGATAATAAGTAATCAAAACCACTTTGATTTTAAAGAAGAATACGATGTTGAGATGAGATATATTTAATAATCCATAATTGATAATGCCCTAATGGCCCTATTAGCCGCGTCAAAATTTTCCTAGCCTTAAGCTGCAAGGCAGCGCCATCTCTTCGCATTGTAGGTAACCCACAATGTCAAATGAATACTTTTTCACGCGGCTAATAGGGCCGTGGTAGCATAATGGTCAGTGCATTCGCCCGGATTACGAAGGATGCGGATTCGAGTCCCGTCCGCTGCCTGGTCCGGGTCGATTTTTTTCTAGTAAACTTTTCTTTAGAATTAAACATCTAGCAGTTAAATGCTTAAAAAATAAATAAAATCATAACTATAATTGCTATTTCTTCTTTCAAATGTTTAATACTTGAAAAAGTATTAATTTGACATTGTGGGTTAATAGGGCCGTGGTAGCATCAGGTATTGTGTAGTGGATAACGTCAGGGGGCTTTGCATTAAAAAACCGGTGGAAATGGTATTGTTCGATTTAGGATACAAAAAGGGGATAATGAGTAGGATGTTTTAAGATTAAACTACAAGAAAGGTCTTTCCGGCTTAAAAATACAAATTATATCAGTGTTTATTTGGTTATTATTTACATTAATTTGGTTTATTACAGTGATGATTGGATTCCGGGTCAATTGTATTCTGAATTTTCTGTATTATGAAGGGTTCATTCTAAAATCGATTCGTGGATTTTTTATCAGACCAGGTCTTATAATAGAGATTGTTTCAAGAAGAAATTAAAATTACAAAGTAGTTAAATCCAATTAGTTATTAATTTACCATAAAAGTTTGTGATTTAGAAAAGTCGGCACTTCACTTGGCTATTCGTGTTTGCTTTTTGCTAACATATCAGTTTGTACTTTTGATTCCATGAAGAGCATGACAAGGACAGACTGATGTCAAGTTTGCAAATAGCAAACACGAATAGCCAAATGAAATGCCGGCTCTAAATAGGATTTTTCGAGATTCTCTTTTAATAACAAAATAAACGGAATTAAAACTATTTTATTTTCTTTGCCAAAGTCTATATTAGGTACATTATTGGTGCATTGCTTGTACTTAATTGTCAATTAAATAACCCTACCCTTAACATAACTAGTTAAATTATGACACGATACCAATACGGCATGGTCGGCACTAAATGGGCAGTAATGCTAATACCCCCTTATTAATAAATAAGCTTAGACTAGTTACGCCGTGTTTTGTTCATATCACTCAAATGCCATTTTTCATTCAATAGACAGAGACAAAACATGGAGAAACAAATCCAAGCGTAGTCCTTGTTTATTAATAAGGGGGATAGAGTTGACCTGTCTGAAAAATCATACTCTTTGATTTTCGATGCTGATGACCTTAAACAGCTTTAGTGTTGAGAATCTATCGAAAATCTTATCAATATTTTTACTAAAGTTCGAGATTGTTTTTTGCCGAAACAACTACCTATGTCTACAACAAAACGAACAACGACCGTTATTTTATTTTTTCACGTAGTCGATGCAATTTCAAGCTTAACGGCTATTTTTGTAACACCTTGTATATTAAAACAATCCAAATAACAAATAAATATGTTATTTTAATTAATTTGAGCAAAAAATATTATTGAATAAACATTCCAATTGTTGTTTATTTTTATATCTAGTAACTAATAATTACTTTTACAATATAATTGGTAGACAAAATTCGTTTGGTGGTGTGTTTAGACAAATTTCAGTTTTGGTGGCCCGAGTATTTTTTTTATATATAAATGACATTGTTGGAATAACAACCCTAAGAAGCCTTTTCGCTGACAAGAGCAGCACATCATAACCCCCCAATTAACATCCCCACTGCTGGGACGCAAATAGGACTTCCTTGAGATTGGGCCATGAAGGCCATTGTCGATTGGTGGGTGCTAATGACTGCAGATGCAACCGGGACCAACGGCTTAACATGTCTTCGTAAGCACAGAGGAGCTCGAGATCTTATTGGTCACCCATTCAATGACCGTCCCTTGCGAAAGTTAGCTTACTTACTTCCACTATGTAAGTGATAAGGGGACACATAGAGTACATCCGTCCTCTAAGCGCACTATGCAGTAGTATTTACTAGGGCAGCGCTGCATCATCCCCTTCTCAGGGGTTGATCGCATCAGATGAACCCTGAAAGGCCCCTAATGGCCTTAGGCATCCCCCACGGGTGTTTTAGTCAGTAAGAGTCTTATTATCCTATAGCTGGTTGTATGGTATCCATGAGGTTTTCACTAAGGAATAAAGAAAGATGGAAGTTTTTAGATATTTGTTAAATCATTGCGCATCGGTATCAGATAAATCGCATCCAATGCGAGCATCGATACCGGCATCGCACCGATGCCAAATGAATGTCAGAATCGTAGTATCACAAGATGCGATGCGATATGAATTACAACAGATGCGTGTTTTGTGTGGATGTGGTATGTCTCTTCGATTCCATGATTTATGACTTGAAAAGTAATCGATATCATTTATTTAATTTTCGGTAAGTTAACTGAAAATATTGAATGTTGGCAAAGTTGCCGAACGCAGTCAAGCACCACAAACTTTTCTGTGCCGGTGGCCAAAATTTGAATTACAATTTATCCATAGCATTTTGACATATTTGTTCACCGCTAGCGACATCACCACCTGCACAGATAAGTTTGTGGCACTGTTGCTATAGGAACGTTGACAAGAACTACATAGCATCGGCATCCAGTCGCATCGTTATTCTAAAAACGCCCACCCCTAATCTTTAATATTTCACATTTAGAATCCTACATTCACTGATAAACATATGCTATAGAGTATTTTCAAAAAAGTTAGGGTTCCGTATGAAAACTTCAATAATGTAACCCAGAGTGTGAAACAATTGCAAAAAATAACCTTATATCGCTTACGCTGCGGAAGTCACAGACAATAGAGCAAAGATATGTACTAAAGTTCTAAAGAAGACATAAATATCTACAAAAAAGTCCGCGATATTATATCATGTCCCATAGAGTGTCCGTGATGCTAGCGTACCCACGATCAATATACGGTTTTTCGTTATGCCATTAAATACTGCGTAAATAGTGCCAAATTAGTGTAAAAATAAAAAAAATAGTGCCTCTTTAATTTAAGAAATTTAGACCATTTTTACTGTGTACGCTACCATGACGTCAAGCTAGCGTACCCATGGCCATGGCCGACCCCAAGAACGGCATATATTTAAGCAACGAAATTGACACACAAAAATAGTTCGCAAATAGTGCCCTGGCTTTACAAAATTTCATAATCAATACTCTTAAAGTACCAAAGATACTGAACTAAACATTCTTAGCTGGCGTCAACCTGGCGTACCCATAATAGTTCTCATAGAAAATGAACTTTTATCGTTATCAATTCTATATGTATAAATAGTGTGTCAAATAGCGCCTCTAACAGTAAAAGTATTTTATGTGAATCCGCATCACAACAATACATAAAGAGGATGTTAAATTCTAGGAACAAATGTATTGTAGTACAGTTGCACACAAAATTAATTTATGCACTAAGAGATTATCTATATATGTATTTTTACTAAAATAAATAGGTACTTTTTATAAAAATATATTTTATTTCAATTCGAATTCACCAATCATAAATTCATATAAGAATTTCAACCTACCTACTAAGTACCTTACTTACCTAATATACTACGAAAATATTATCACTTCTGTACATGACTGTACTTTATATATAAAAATAATTTAATTACTTTTTTATATTGTTTTACTGTGAATTCACATAAAATACTTTTACTGTTAGAGACACTATTTATACATATAGAATTAATAACGAGGAAAGTTCCTTTTCCATGAGAACTAATATGGGTACGCCAGGTTGACGCCAGCTAAGAATGTTTAGTTTAATATCTTTGGTCCTTTATGAGTATTGATTATGGAATTTTGTAAAGCCAGGGCACTATTTGTGAACTATTTTTGTGTGTCCATTTCGTTGCTTAAATATATGCCGTTCTCGGGGTCGGCCATGGGTACGCTAGCATGACGTCATGGTAGCGTACACAGTAAAAATGGTCTTTATTTCTTAAATTAAAGAGGCACTATTTTTTTTATTTTTACACTAATTTGGCACTATTTACGCAGTATTTAATGGCATAACGAAAAACCGTATATTGATCGTGGGTACGCTAGCATCACGGACACTCCCATAGAGATCATCCTAATAAGATTATTTTAAAATCGATTTTCGTTCTTAATGTCACATCCCTATGTGACGCAGTATTGCCATGCCAACTCTGAAATCTAGCCGATGATGTTAGAAAATAATTATTTTTCTTGTAGACTTTCTGATATTATGTTGTAAAAGTTGCAACAAAATTAAAAATGTGTGGTAATATCTAGAGGAAAAATTCTTTAATTATTAACAGTCTTCCAAAAGGAGGATGTTCTCTTTTTGTCAGTTTTTTTTATTGAAGTTCGCTCATATCTCAGAAGTAAGGGGACAGATTTTAATTAATGTGACGGACGTAAATTATGGATGACCCCCTTATTTCTATATTTTCAGCTTAGCCATTCTACATCTAGCTAACCTGGGTTAGCAGGTTGTATTTTATTAGAATGTGATTAATATTTTATGAGCCACCCCGAAGAAGGGTGATGAATATTTAAGTATTATTATCCGACGGGGGGTGGTAAAAGAAACTAAGGTAAAGAGAGGTGGTGAGTCTATTTATGATACGATACGATGATACGCTGAGCTAGGCCAACGAGACGGTTTCAAATTGGCGAGTTGGCAAATTTAGTTAAGGACAGCGAAACCAAAATGCTGGCTGACTTAATTTTTGACGTGGCTGATATCCGTTAATGTCTGAGATATTGTGGGAAGTTGAGAGCTTATATAGAGTTATACATTTCAATACAACCAGTTGATGATTTGTATAAAGACCATATTAAGACAATTAGATATCGAAGATATCCCGGATGTCAGCGTTTAGTAACGCTCACAAACAACAGAAGGATAACAAAGCGCCAGGTAATGACGGAATCACAGCAAAACTGATTTTTTTTTGCAAAAAAAACAGTACGTAAAAGCTTGCAGAGATTGTTCAATTTCGTTGTTATTGTGGTGATACTTTTCTTAAAAAAGATGACAATACCCAATTAAAGAACCAGACCCATTTCGCTGCGACTCGTTACATCCAAGTGCTGACGAGTTAGAACGATGCGCCCATGGCAGTACGAACGTATCAGATTAAGGACATGTCCAACCACAGCTAGAAATGCGACAGGGTGATGTGTGTTGCAAAACTTGAAGCTTCTTCTGAAGTCTTAGTATAATAATTTACATTAATGCGGGTATTTTATCGAAAAGAAAAACTATACATAGAGTATACTACATTTTATTATACTAATATAATATTATCTACACGCCAACAATATATCTATCTGTTTTGTACATTTCGTATGCAAATTCTTCATCGTGTGTTGGGTCAAACTCCAAACCTGAAATGAGAATCATACTTTTTATAAAGCTTTTCCTTTTAAATAAAGTACAAATAAAAAACTTTTTCTTAATCATGATTGTTATCAGCCTAATAATATCCCCAGTGTTTGGGCACAGGCCTTCTCTATGGATGAAATAGGGATTGGGCCGTGACCGTGACCCACTATGCAGGCCCAGTGCTGATTGCCGGGTGCAAACATCTGCACATGCATCCGGAACCAACTAACGGGTTAAAGTTAGGCTTGCCAGATGACCGGGAAATCTGGGATTGTCCCGGAGTATAGCGTCTTGTCCCGGAATCCCCGAATACCAGTTTTTTTTTCACAATATCATTATAAATACACCAAAATTTGTAATCCAGCATCTGTCATCCTTAGTTAATGTGTCTTCTGCATCACGAAGGAGTTCGATTAATAAGTCACTCATCCAATGACCGACCATTGCGATAGATGCTTAACTTTTGACAGCGCGAACGAGCTGCACCGTTCTGCATTTTTTTGTCATCCACGGCCCGTAAAAACAATAAGAAACAAAAGTGTGGCGAACAAGAATCTATTTGACCCACGCCTGACGGTAAATGTCTGCGAGAACGAGAACATAGACACTTGCAATACAAAAGTATCACTCGCGCTTTTTGCCATCCCAAGAGTAATAATGGCCAGTTCTATCGCCTATCCCGCGGAGTCATGGAACATAGATTCTAATTCCGATAGATAGTTACTTCAGCAGTTATAAATGCTACACCGTGAAGCATCAACAAAAAGAATGCCGGACCGATTTTGGCCACACCATAGAGCTCATGGGAACATTGATTCCTACAAAAAGAATAACAATACTAAATTTTCTACACTATTTTGCCCATATGTCGACATTTGGTTCGACTTCAGACGACCGCTCGCTCCCAAGGACGTCGCCAACTGATGACCTAGGGGAAGCTGGTTCATATAAATCCAATGGCCTAGGGAGGGGGGCAAGTTCATATACCGAAAGTATTAACTAAAAGAAAGGTACAAGAAGCTTCACACTTGTAGTGCTCTTAACTCAGTTAGGATTGGAATTACTTATAGTAGGCGAGCTACTGAACCCTCCGAGTAACGGTCTGTCTGTAAGGCTAGAAATTCTTATGGTGATGAGTCATAGCATGCTTAGTACGGTAAGCATCGCCTGGCACTCCTCAGCCCTGCACGTTGTCAAAAAATATTAAAAAAAATTGTGTTTGTCAGCTCCGACGCACGACTGGAGTTTACTCCTTAAGTTCGATAGTCTAACCAGACGCAAAAAGAGTTTATTTAACTTAAAAAGATTGATACTGTATGAAAGGGTAAATTAACAAATTAATGAAAATAACATACATATATAAATATATATTTATTCATTTCATATACATTATAACTAATCGAAGAAATATTTTACATTAAACTTTTTACAATAGTCAATTTCAGATGTGCATAAATATATCATTAGGAATGTTGATAAATTATGTAATTATTATTATCAGACTATTATCATTTTTTTAAATATTAATTAAATCAACATTGTCTGCATTATTAATTACAGTGACAAGTGGTTTATGGTAACTAAAATAAGACACATGGACGTTCGTAGATACGTGGTTCACGAATCTTGAAAATACCGCATCAATGGTTGTACCATACCTCGTTGTCCCCATTGCTCTATCAGAAACAATATCTAAATTCAGTTCAGATTTTAAATTTTTTATTAATGTCAATCCGTCATCTTTGTTTGTCAAAGTTGCGCGACATAAGATGCGCACCAAAAACGTAACGAGGTCATTCATCGATAGAATTTACTCCTCACATTTTTCTCATACCGGGCCCCTTATATATGCAAATCGAGCTTGAAATTTTTATACAATTTAGTTTATTCATTTATAAGTTTTTAAAAGTCAAAATCTGATATGTCATCATTACTTTCTTCATCATCATACTATGAGTCTTCTACGGGAAAGATGCTATGGAAGTGCGAGTAAGCGGCGACGACACAGAATGTCACAGCGTGGCGGCCGCGCGGCGACAGTACAGCGAAGGCGCGGCGGCCGCGTGGTCACCCCGGTGGCCCTGCCACTGCAAACCCGATTTATTTCCTTGATCTTGGTATTTCTTAAAATTCACACGTCGTGTTCGTTACGGGCTATTTGTCTTCATACCGACAAAGCAAAAAAGAAGAAAAAAGAAACGTAGAAGATCTTGGATATGAATCCAAGATCTTCTACGTTTCGCGCGGACGCCGCGTGGCGACCGCAAGAATTTTTTTGCGTCGTCTAACTACAGCCTAACGTGAACTCGGTGGTGCGTTTGAGATAGTTTTACTAACTGGAAAATAGGTCGTATACCTGAAAAAAGAACCTCGGTTGTAACAACGATTTATCTGTGTAAAATCTTACGAAGAATTTCGCTGTTTTAAATTATTATTGTGAATTATTTTAATGATTAAATGAGAGACAATTACAATCTAGTTATGTTTTTATTTATTTTTAAGCATTTAACTGCTAGATGTTTGGGGGATAAAGCCGAGCGCGTCCGTGGGCTTTAGCTCTAGATACCCACACGTGTCCCCTGGGTAGCGCCAAATGCTCGGCACATCACCGGTGGTAGGTTTCGACCGTGGCTGGTAACCACCCTCTAGGCAAAGCCGAGCCGACTTTCATCGGGTTTCGGCTCGATGCCTGGTGTTGCCGTTTTTGGGGGGGGAGTCCGAGCAGTTGCGATGTACAGCTTGCCGGCTTCGGTGCTGCGTGATTGCTGCGCTGGGTGGCTGATCGCGGAGGGTAGCGGGATCCTAAGCACGGTTCTCTGCTGGCCGACCGCAGGTAGTAGGGGGCCCAAGTAGTAGGAAAGCCACCTACGAAAGGCTGCCCCGCCAACTCGCGAAAAATCCCAAGGTGCGCCATCGTGCCGGTTGGCGACCGGATGCGAGGGCCCGATGGACACTTTTGTGGGGGTTAGGGCGTCCCCGCGCGCTCCAGCTAAGTCACCCGTCAGTGTGGCGTCATAACTGCATCGCTTGGCAGCAGCTTAGCAGAGTCTCGCTCATCTGTCCCCTTCCTGCCTGTTCACTCTCTACTTATGAAAAAAAAAAATATGAACGTTAAAAGAAAGAAACTGGTGAAACAGCAGATGCACTCCCTCGCACTAAAAGTGCACCTTGCTAACATCCGAGGATTGCACTCAAATATCGATAGTGTCCATCACCACCTTGAGACCGATAAACCACATCTGCTGTTCCTCGCGGAGACTCAAATAAGATGCCCGACTGACGCAGCTTACTTGCATTACCCAGGTTACATCCTGGAGCACAATTTTAAATCGCGCGCTGGCACCTGCGTGTATGCTCGTGATGACATCTGCTGCCAACGTCTCCACAACCTTGAGGATCCCAGTTTCTCTACATTATGGGTGCTGGTGAACACAGGTATAGAGCAAATACTCTATGCCAGTGTTTATCGGTCGCACACAGAGAACATGGAGACAACCAGGTTTTTTCAGTACCTCAGCGCCTTCGCTGAAACAGCCCAGCAAAGGTACCCGAGTGCGCAGCTAGTCGTTCTGGGGGACTTTAACGCACACCACCATGAGTGGTTGTTCCCGTTCCAGAAAACCGACCATGCCGGGAGATTAGCGCACACATTTGCTATGTCGCTAGGTCTCTCCCAGCTTGTGAAGGGCGCTACACGTGTACCCAATATTGATGGCCACACACCAAACTGCCTGGACCTTCTGCTGTCAACAGACCCGGACCGTTACCAGGTGGTAATTTCGTCTCCTCTAGGGAGTTCCGACCACTGTCTGGTGAAGTCCGTATCAGTCTACTCTCCAGGCGACCCGGAATCTATCGGAACTAGGCGTGTTTGGCGATATGGTTCAGCAGACTGGGATGAGATGCGGCATTTCTTTGCATCTTATCCTTGGCGTCGCACTTGCTTTTCTTCGGACGACCCGACTTGCTGCGCGGATGCCATTGCTGACGTGATGCGTCAGGCTATGGAGTACTTTATTCCATATTCTGACGTACCACGCCGGTTTAGCGCCCGCCCTTGGTTTGACGCGGACTGTGCTAAAGCAGAGGCGCTTAAGCATTTTGCGTATCGCTCCTGGGCGGATGCTCGAGCCCGCAAATCACCAAATGTTCGAAGTCTGAAGAAAGCCTTTAACAGTGCCGCCAAGTCCTGTAAAGGTGTTCTCCGCAAGGCCCGCTTCGATCACATTGGCCGTATAGGAGCCAAATTAGCCTCCTTTCCATCCGGAAGCAAGGCTTTCTGGTCCCTAGCCAAAACAGTCGAAGCCAATTTTTGCCGGTCGTCGCTGCCGCCTTTAATTAAGCCTGACGGATCCCTGGCTCACACCTCCAAAGAGAAGGTTGACTTGTTTGCCTCTATATTTGCGAACAACTCACAGCTAGATGCTGCTGGCGTAAACCCACCTAAGCTTCCTCAGTGTTCTTCTGCCATGTTGGAAGTTCGCATCCATCAGAAAGAGGTACTCAAAACGCTAAGCACTCTAGACGTGAATAAAGCCAGTGGGCCCGATGGCATTCCAGCTATTGTCCTGCGGAATTGTGCCCCTGAGTTGTCTCCTATTCTGACTCGCCTATATCGCTTATCCCTTGAGATTGGCCAAGTTCCGAAAACCTGGAAGCTTGCCAATGTCCAACCAGTGCCCAAAAAGGGTAGTCGTGCCGACCCTGCCAACTATCGACCTATTGCAATCACCTCCATACTCTGTAAGATTATGGAGCGTGTATTGAACAACCGTCTCCTCGCTTACCTCGAAGATAACGATCTCCTCAGTGACTGCCAATTCGGTTTCCGCCGTGGGCGATCTACTGGGGATCTTCTTGTGTATGCTACCCACTTATGGAGTGAAGCCATAGAGAAACGCGGCGAAGCTCTCGCCGTTTCTCTTGATATTTCAAAGGCTTTTGACAGGGTCTGGCATGCAAGTCTCATTGGCAAGCTTCCTTCATATGGAATCGCTGTCGGACTTTGCAACTGGATTGCAGATTTTCTGAGGGGCAGATCGATACGAGTGGTCATTAATGGCACATCGTCGGATCTGCTTGGTATTAATGCCAGTGTCCCCCAGGGATCTGTCCTCTCCGCAACTCTATTCTTGCTGCACATCAATGATCTGCTCCTAACTCCTGGTATCTTTGGCTACGCAGACGACAGCACAATTTCGGGGAGATATCTGCCTGATGTGAAGTCTGATGCAGATGTCCGATCATTAAAGGGGGCGATGGTGGAGGGAGTGAATGCAACCCTGGAAGCTGTTTCCCTCTGGGGTGAAGCCAACTTGGTTGGATTCAATCCCTCTAAAACACAGGCCTGTCTCTTCTCGACCAAACGGAGTCCATTCCATCTGACTCCGACTTTCCGAAATGTCTCCGTGCCGGTTAAAGACCATCTCGAGCTCTTGGGTATGGACATCTCATGCAGCCTCAATTTCGGTCGCTACATCGAGTCCATTGCTAAAACCGCTGCCAGAAAACTTGGAATACTTTCTAAGGTCAGGCGATATTTTACATCTGAGCAGCTCCTTAACCTTTACCGAGCCCAAGTTCGCTCCTGCTTGGAGTACTGTTGTCACCTTTGGGACGGATCTGCTCGGTATCAGCTGGATGCACTGGACTCGGTGGAACACCGTGCGAAGAGACTCATAGGCAATGACGCTCTCGTTGAGGCTAATCTTCAGAGCCTTGACCACCGAAGACGTGTAGCTTGCCTTTCGGTGTTTTATCGGTTACATTTCGGAGAGTGTGCGGAGGTATTACATAATTTGATCCCCCCTTCCCCTTTCCACCACCGGACGGCCAGGCGCGGCGAGGGCTTCCACCCTTATGTTGTCCAAGTTCCTCCCATTCGCACGAAGCGATTTGCTTCGGCCTTCATTATACGAACGGCTAGGGAGTGGAACTCCTTGCCGAGGTCTGTTTTCCCGGACCAATATAACCTGGACATCTTCAAGGCCAGAGTGAATAGGCATCTTCTAGGCAGGCGTGTACCATCCTAGGCCTCATCATCGCTTTCCATCAGGTGAGATTGTGGTCAAACGCATTGCCTATTTAGCATAAAAAAAAAATGTTTAAATCTAAAGAAAAGTTTACTAGAAAAAAATCCACGCGGTCCCGTCCGCTGCCTGGTTCACGTGGTTTTTTTTCTAGTAAACTTTTCTTTAGATTTAAATTACAATCTATTTTCATCATTAATTTGCCTCAATAATATAAACTTTCATACTACTTACGACTCTTACTCGCACTGCCGCGCAGCATCTTTCCCCGAGGGGACAGTGCCAGGCGAGCCTGGTAAGGACTTATGCTAGCCAGAACCGCCTGGCATTCTACCTACTTACTTTAAATCACTTAAACAAACATATATAAATTTCAACTTTACAGAAGAAAGTTTATTTTAATGTACCTATATACTACACACCTTTGGGTTCACCTGGCGGGTAGTTGTGTTCATCGTAAACGCCTGGCAATTTTTTTTAAACTTAAAAATGAATAAACTAGGTAAATTGTATTAAAAATTTCAAGCTTCCAGCAACAACTTTTTTTTTTAATATTGTTTTGACAATTTCAAAAATATAGGGCTTGATGACGTGCAGGGCTGAGGAGTGCCGGCGATGCTTACCGTACTAAGCATGCTATGACTCATCACCATAAGAATTTCTAGCCCTACAGACAGACCGTTACTGGGAGGCTATTGAACTATTAGTGAATTCATTCCAGTTTCGACGTGCTTGTTTGGTCAGGCAAGCCAGTTAAGTAAGTGGGCCAGAGACTTTGGTTGCTTTACATTGGTATATTTTTTATAATATATAATATCTAGCGGGGCAGTTGCTCCCTTGCTCGCTCGCTCCCTTGCTCGCTCGCTCCCACTGCTGTTGAGTTGGCTAGCTATATAACTTACCAATGTATTCTATTTCCAAATTAAACCTTCCGGGAATTTTATCGCCGCACGTGATACCGAAATGAGTTACTTTGTCGAATCGCATTCTATTCTGTTTGTCTTGTAATCTACCTTTAGATCCCAGAACAAATTTCGAAAAAGGTATCTGAAAAATAACATTTTGTTAAGTATGTAGGTAGTATATAATATACTTAGAGTAGGGTTACCAACTTTTTTTCTATCAAATATAGTATTTTCGAAGCTGTTACCTCTAAAAATATAGTGGATGACAAAAAAATGGAATAAAATATAGTGGTGTCGATTCTAGCATGATTCTCTAAGCCTAAACTTAAATTTGACAACAGTGGTGTCGATTCTAGCATGATTCTCTAAATCTAAACTTAAATTTGACAGCAGTATATCCTTGTCATTCTCTATACAGAATGAAAAGGAGAGACTGATGTTAAATTTAGTTTTAAGTTTAGAGAATCACGCCAGAATTGGCACCAGTGTAGCCTTGTCATTCTCTTTACAGAATGAAAAGGACAGAAAGATTATAAATTTAGTTTTGACACCATTATGTGGTTAAAATATTTACTTTATTTTTGAAATGAATATATTTTTGCTGCCCTATACTTAAGTTTTTATTTTAAGAACTGGCAAAAGTCAGCTCTGCTTTAAGTAAAATATAGTAGTTTCACTTACTATATATTTTTTAGCAATATAGTATTTGATGATCCCCTAATATAGTACGATACTATATTATATAGTAGGGTTGTCAACCCTAACTTAGACCCACCCGGCAAAGCCTCAACTTGTGCGGTTGATATTCTTTGTATGGATTTCTATGGATATGCGCTCACTACATAATCAGTTCCGTCCGTCACACGATCTCACTCGCACGCTTGCCGTGTGCTGGCCACTGGTTGTAAGTGCGCTACCCCTGAGTGGTCCGCGCGCGGCCTGAGAGTTGACAACGCATTTTATTTTCTTCTTTATCAAGCGCGACAGCTACTAGAGCCAATTCTAGGTTTGTAAAATTAAACATTGTAAAAACACACGTGTAACCTAGTGAAGATCTTACGCATACTACTTAATTTTTGCTGATAACGCGGAGTCAACTACGCAGCGGCCGATGCGGCGTTCACCCTTCGACCACCTGACGGACGCTCGCTAGTTGACAATGAGGTGGACACCCTCAACGCGGTCGGGTGAACACCCGTAACCCACCGTGGGGCACTTTATTATTAAAATTTAACTGAATTGTTGACCATTATGCATCACGTAATATATTTATTGATTTGATAAATATTACAATGAAAAGCGCCCCACGCTTTTTCAGTTATATATATTGTAAGCCATGTTTATTGTTGATTTTAAGATAAGAGTTGATCTTAAAATCAACAATAAACATGGCTTACTCTAAAGCCCTAATGAATTAAACCGAGAGTACCTACCTATATTTTGTTTATGTTTGACTTTTTAGTTCAGTAAGTAAAAGCGTGTTTTTAGTTTTTTAAACTATTATTTTTTAACAAACAATTCATTTTGGTCCAGTCAACTTTAGTCTGCGTTTTGTAATGACGTTTAGAGATTAGGTACGTTTACGTTAGGTATTTTTTCTTTTGAGATGGGTATGAAGGAAAATGATAATTACCTTTGCAATTTGCCAGTACGGTCCACCTCTTGTATACAGTACATAATGATAGATGTCATTCCAAGTTATATCATAATATCCTTCACAAGATATATTCAGTAAGTATGAGCGTCCATCGCCTCTTACCTTTATTACTAAAGTGTTGTATATATGCCAATCATATGTAGCTTCACGTTTGAAAGATTTCTGTAAGTTAAAAGGTACACAAATTAAGAAACTCAACAGTTGGGCCCACATAGGACTATTCGTCTTGGATCGAAGATGGATGGATCAAAAATGTAATACCTTTTATTAGCTCTGTTGTGACTTCTTGTAATGATGTAGAATTTATTTAATTAATGTTTTTATGATGTAATATCTTATTGAAAATATTTTTTTATTATATTATTTTTATTATTATTGACTTCATAAATGACGAGGTGAATGGATCACACACAGAACATAGAAACCTCTTTCTATGTTCTGTGGGATCACAGTACATTAAATACCTACATTCAACTTACTCTAATTCTTTGTGACCTCATTGCCGCGTAGCCAGCTTTCTTTATTCGACCATCTTTGGGCACTCGCACGTCCAAGTTTCCATGGAACAGCGCGCGGCCGGCACTACTCATTTCCAGTTTGCTTGTACTGTAACCCTCGTTGTGGTCACTGTCACTTGTTGTTATGAACTTCTCTAACACGCTGGGCTTGTTGAAACACCAAATGAGGTCCGTCTCTCCTACAATATAGTATTTATGCATGATTATGATAATATTCATTGATGAGTAAGGTTAACAACGTACGAGCCGTGAACTGCGGCGGATGGTGGAGAAGTGGTGCCGCTTGTATAATCTTGTGGAAGCCGCGCGGAGGGTTTGTCTATTTTTCCGCACACGAAGCCATACTTATACAATATCGAAAGTTTAGAACAAAAAACCGCCCAAACTTGCTGCGTCGTGCGCGGTCTCTCTACAAGTCTGAACAAATTGACAACCGCGGGTCCACATAGTCTCCGCGTGCTTTGAGTTGTGGTGTGGTGTGTTGTACAGTACGACAACGTACTGAAATCCGCATTACTACACAGGTGAGCGGATGCCACCTTCGAAAATGACACGCACGGTTGACCCAAAATTATAGAAACATTTCTAATTTCCCAAGAAGTCTTAAGGTACTGAGTTTGGAGAATATTAGGCAAATACCTGGTAACCAATTATTTAAATTTCGCTGCTGCACCATCGTTTTATTGAAATTCATTTTCTCTATAAGTAGGTATCTATTATTCTGATAAGCTCAACGATATTAAAAACCGATCGTTGGATATATTTAATTTTTTTTGTATTTGTTTTATTGCAGTTGTAAAGTTATTATTTTAATTAATCCTCAAAATTTATAAATATTAATTTATATAAGTCAGTCGGATCCGCTACCATGTATGCAAACAAATTATAAAATTTGACGCTTCGATCGGTGGTGGCTCTGCTAAACCGCAATAGATAATGGAAAAATATTACTATCATTGTTTCCAACAGTCCCAGTAAGATATAAAGCTGAAGAATACAGCAATAAAATTATAAGCGGATAATTAAGAGTTTTGAAAAAAGCAAAAGGCAAACCGCAAGATTTATAACACAGTCGAATCGAAAACCTCCTTTTTTTAAGTCAGTCAGAGATCAAGAGAAAATATTTTACTAAAAATAAATCCGATTGGTCCAGGCAGGCATCAGACAGGATCCGAACCTGGCGTCTGGATAGCAGACGGTGCAGGTTCGAATCCTGTCTGATGCGAGGAACAATCAGATTTATTAAGTTTTAGGTAACGCAATAGTATAGCGTAGCCTGGAACCCTTCTTTACAAAGGTATATGTGTAGGTCTCACTTTTAACGGACTTTAAAATGGAGGAGGTTCCCAATTCGACTGTTTTTCGGGTCCACGTAAACCTCTTTTGGCGCAGCGCACACCAGAAAAGGAGCGGTGCAGATACTACCTACCTACACGCGGCGACTCCGCGCCCAGTTACACAAGAGAGTCAGTTACTCATGGCCACTTCACAACACAGCCACAGCAGCGCTGCTAACACAGCGCTGTGCGCGCCTTGCTTGCACTTTTCCGTGTTTGCCATGAATTTTTTAAACTGACGATATATTAATTTTGGGTTTAATTTAAATTGTTAACTTCTCAGTATCTTCGCCGCGCCTTTAGAAGTATCGATGCTCTTCAGTCTGTAGGTAATTGGCTTAGTGGTCATGTCCATATGCTGCCACTTCACTTGGCTATTCGTTTTTGCTATTTGTAAATTTGACAACAGTCTTCTTTATCATTTAAATGGAATGAAAAGGAGACTGATGTCAAGTATACCAATAGCAAAATGCCGGCAATACAAACAATTTTTATCCTCCTATCTCTTTTTCAATATCGGCTAAACAAGCTAGCTAAGCACAGTAGTCTTTCATTGACAAGAGTGCTGTCAAAGTTCGTGCTTGGGCCTTCGGACTCCATTGAAAATCAGTTGTTGCAGTCAATTTGCTGGTCTTAATGATGTGAAAAAGGATCAATTGAGTGAATGTATGCAAATAAGTTAGGCTAGATAAAAATATAATGGTTTTATTTAATATAGAGCTCTAAACTAAATACACCAAATGAAACCACAAAATACACAGTAAAAATACTTAATTCAGATGGCTTTAACCATGGAGTAAGGCACTTGTTTCACATAACCTTAATGTTGAAAGATTTTTTTCAACATGTAATGCTATTTTTTCATTTGAGCCAGACAGCTTATAGATGGATAGCCATCTCCTTATCCTTTTTCTTCGTTAAATCAGTTAAGTTATTCATTCAAGTCAATGATTTAATATTATATTAGTACACAAATCATATTAAAACCTAGTTCTTGAAAATAAATAGGATACAAAACAAAGAAACATAATGTCAGAGATATAATAAACATTTTTATGTACCAATCTAAATGAATAAATTATATGCATAAAACTTTAAAATTTGAATCATAGTTATGAAGTGAATAAATAACCTACAATATTTTTTACTCAATTTACCAACTTGATGATGGTAATTTTTTATGTGTTTAAGAACTTAACTATAATTTAAGAATAATTATAATTAGGAAATAACAAAATTTAAGATTCATCACAGAAAGATTTTTGAGATTCATAATGTACAGAATTTTGAAGATTTATAAATACTGCAAAGCACCACCATATTTATAAGCTAAGAGAGTATTGTAATCTCATCAACGAACTTCATTAATCAGCTGATCACAGATTCTAGTCAATTCTTCATTGTCCCTTGTCTTTTGCGCAAGCGATTCCTGGAGGGAAGCAATTGTTATTTCATGCTTTTTTATAATGGCATTCAATTTAGTCATCTCCACATTATGACTTCTTTTGTCATTTTCCAATATTTCATTTGCTTTTGCTAATTTTTCTGATGTGACTTGTTTGATACTATTGTATAAATTTTCATACTTTTTCATGCCTTCTTCATACTCTGATATTTTCTGTTCAAAGACTTTTTCCCTTTCTTTTACTTCGAAAATAATACTTTTACATTTTTCATATTTACTTAACAAATCATTAAATGAACTTTCCATACTAGCTAAGTGATTCACTGCCTGGTCCCTCTCCGACACTAACTTGTCAAAGGTCTCTTGATAATGAGTTTTATCTTTTTGCTGTTCACCAATTAGAGAAGATATAGTTTTTTCATATTCTTCCATAACAATGCTCATTTGTTTATTGTTTAAGTTTTTTTCATTCACTTGCTGAATGAGTTTATTTTCCCTTAGTGATAAGATATCTCTTTCATCTGTTAGTTTTCTTACTTTGGATTCAAAGTCTTCAACAGTACGAGAATGTCGGTGTTCCATATCTTGTAATACTGACCTCAATTCCCTATTTTCTTGTCTAAGCAAAAGGACTTCCTGGTCTTGTTTTTGAAGAATCACTCTTAAAGACTGCAATCGGTCCATTTCTTGCATGCTGAAGTTGTGATAACGAGGGCTACGTGGAGCAGCTGTTGGTGGAGTGCTCCCAGCAATACTAATTAGTCTGTCTGTGGCTACTTCTGAAGGCGTCAATATAGCAGATACACTGCGAATAAGGGCTGGAGTTGCTCTTGTTTGTGACGAACTACATTTAGGTTGGTCATAACTTACTACTGGTGGGACAACCTGCATAGGTTTTTCTCTCATATTTGTAGATTGCAGGCACCCAACTGACATGGAATGTTTAGGGGAAGCAATATGACTTTCAGTAATCCCTGATGCAGCACTACCAGTTTCATATCCCACATCACCTTCTGTTGAATCTGTTAGTGAGTCGGTATTAGTAAAACTCACACTCTCCTTAATTTTTTTAGCATATAGTGGATCGAATTTCACAAATAGACTTTCCTTGCCTCTGTCGATTATGTTGTGATTGCGATTTGATTCAGCACATTTCACTAAATAATCTAAACTACTTGCATCAATAAACATGTCATCATTTATAGGAACTTCTTGCATAGTAACATCACAAATACTATCAAATTCAGAACCAGTGAGCAGATCATTAGTCAAATCAGATTGTTCCAGTACCTCAGCTGTTTTCTTAGGCGATAAAGCCATTAGATCGCCCATGGATGAAACTGGTGTGATATAATTATTATCGTCCGAAGCTGACATACTTCCTTGGGTGGCAGAAACTTTACCTGTATTTACTTCACAATAATTAAAATAACGACGTCCTAGCAAACTGTTAAATTTTTGGCAAATATTTTTGAAACTGTTGCTGTTTTCGTCGTTGTGCTCAGAAGATTGATCGGATAAATTGATCGAAATCATTCGACGCCTATACCCTGTATGGGCGCACCAAACGTTTAACAGCAAAAAATATAGAATTTAAGACTTGTTCAATGCTTCAATCCTGTTATTTTTATCTTGGTCTCACAGAAATAAAAATAAAACCAGTACTAGTCTTTTTTTAATCACAACAAAATCCGGTCGTTCCAACGGACATTTTTATTCAAAATCAATGTTGCCAACTTGACATCAATGCTTGACCATAGACGCATTATATAAACTGGGCTAGTGATGTAATCGAAAGCAAAGTAATCGATTATCTCTAGAGTGTCGTTACAATACATCGATTAATCGCACTTATAATATCGTTTATCCTGTACTTAAGTAGGCGCGTGAGAAGTTATCCTTCTTTGGCATCGTTTAAAATTAGTTTTTAATTGCATGCAAATAATTAATTACAATAGATTAATAAAAAGTCTGGAAAAGGACACAGTCAATAAAGTTCAGTTATAATTTGAAAAAATAAATAAATAATCAAAATATTCAATTAAAATCGCTACTGAATATAATTTATTAGAACATATGTGATTTGCACTTGTATGAAACTCAAACACGTATTCCGAATATACAAACTAGAAACATGTGGATAAATATTATAAATATGAATACCTATAACTGTTACTTTATTACAAAAAATAAAGATGTGGTTTTTGGTTCTACTACACCAATGGTCAAGAGATGGCGCTGTAGTCTCCTGAATCGCGCTTTGGTTCCGTTGTTCCAGATTAATAAAGACTTTTGATAGGCCTTCACAATGCAGTCGTTAGCACCCACTAAATAGAGATTCTATTTCTATTTTGTTGGTAGATTTTCTTAATGTGCGGTAAACACAAAAGTAACGCATTTGTGTTACAGTGATGCGCGCGCATCTTAAAATTTCACTCTCATCATTTTTTCATAACGCGCCTAAAGAAGTATAACTTCAAAAATTCTGTCTTTGTAAGAAAATAAATGTTCCGTCGAAATACAAAAAAAAATACATAGATATTAATTACAAATAAAAGAATTACAATTTTAAAATAAGAATGTTTATTTAATCATTAACATTTCCATTGAGATTCATCTATGGATGACAAAAAACATAACATCGCAAGATGAGAACCAGTCAATCTGTTTCTCATGTCGGTGACGATTTGCCCAGCTTCTGAAAATAGTCTTTCAGTAGGTACAGACCTGGAAATGATTGATAAATGTCTGATTGCCACTCTACACAGTCAGGTCATAAGTATTGTCACACAGTAAAAACTTTTCTTTTAGAATGCTGGCCACAAAAAAGTTTATTGAATTCGAATTTCGGATTGTACATGAAAATAAAAATGTATACTTTTTAGAATTTTACTCATTTTTAAATATGGAGTGGACGCTTAAAGAAGACCGTGTTGCAGTTATTGCGTTGCATCGTTGCGGTAACGCGCCAATTCAATTTTAGACATACTGAAAAACCTAAAGAAAATATAACTAGAAAAAATTCCACGCAGACCAGGCAGCAGACGGGACTCGAACCCGCACCCTTCGCAATCCGGGCGAATGCACTGACCAATTATGCTACCGCGTCGAAATTCTTCTAGCCATTCTTAAGCTGCAAAGCATACTGAAAATTTTGAATATAACCAAAAGATTCGTTTATCGTACCATCAAACGATACAATGAAGACTCTAGTGTAGATGACAGGTCAAGAAGTGGTCGCCCTCGGTCTGTTAGGACTCCAGCAGTGATAAAAGCTGTGAAGGCGCGAATTCGAAGAAATCCCAAACGTAAGCAAAAACTGTTGGCCCTTCAGATGGGGTTAAGCAGAACCACGGTGAAAAGGGTGTTAAATGAAGACTTAGAGCTTTAGATATATCGAAGAAAAACAGGACATCGTTTGAATGCTCGTCTAATGGACCTGAGACTGAAGGGATGCCGCGCTGGAAATTCTTTTTTCGGGTGAAAAAAATTTTACCGTAGAAGAGAGCTACAACAAACAAAATGATAAGGTGTACGCACACAGTAGTGAAGAAGCGAGCAACTGTATTCCGCGTGTCCAACGAGGTCATTTTCCATTCTCGCTCGCGTATGGTTGGGAGTTTCTTATTGGGGCTTAACAGAGATACATTTTTGTGAGAAAGGTGTAAAAACGAATGCAGTTGTGTATCAAAATACAGTCCTGACGAACCTTGTGGAACCTGTTTCAAATACCATCTTCAATAACAGGCACTGGGTATTCCAATAAGATTCGGCGCCAGCTCATAGAGCGAAGAGCACACAAGACTGTGAAAGCGACTTCATCCGGCACGAAGACTGGCCCTCCTCTAGTCCAGATTTGAGTCCGTTAGATTACAAGATATGGCAACACTTGGAGGAAAAGGCGTGCTCAAAGCCTCATCCCAATTTGGAGTCACTCAAGACATCCTTGATTAAGGCAGCCGCCGATATTGACATGAACCTCGTTCGTGTTGCGATAGACAACTGGCCGCGCAGATTGAAGGCCTGTATTGAAAATCACGGAGGTCATCTTGAATAAACTTTATCGTCGTAAGAATCTATGTTTTGTTAAGTTCATTTTGGTATATAAATGGTTACACAATGTAATATTGTTTTTATGGAATAAATGACTAATGACTATGTTCTTTTGCCACCATGAACATTTTCTTCCAGTTTGACATCTAGAAGAAACATACGTAGCTTCAACTACATAAACGTTATACATTATTACATATAGACAGAGATGGTTTTTAAGACTAAAGTAACAGTGGGTATTGTATGGACAAAGCTGTCGGCTGTCGAAGCTTGTTATGATGATTTTTGAGACGTGTTTCATGTTTAGGTATTATTTATGTATGAACTGACAAGACCATAATGAAGGTCATTGCGATTCGATTAGTCGATGTAAAATAATCGATTACATCGATTATTTTAATTTATAGATTAATCGATTAATGCGCAAAATTTTACAAACGAGTAATCGATTAATCGAATAGATATCGAACATCCCTAAACTGGGCAGAGTACTTATACCGATAAAGCGGGCCGAGTGAGAAATACTTTTATCTTTCCTAATACCACAATTTAATTTGGTAATACAAAATTATTTTCCGTTTTTATTAATTAAATGTATGAGTACAAACGCATGATTAAAAGGTTTCTTGAAAGTAAGTTTTTATGATCATTTGCTATAGTAAATATTACGATACAATATATACGATTCATTTTTCCCAATATCTTTTCACTTTTAAACAGTTTCGAGTAAAACAAAGTGCATAATGCGTCAATGGTGTCGATTCTAGCGTGATTGTCTAAACTTAAAACTAAATTTAACATCAGTCTATCCTTTTCATTCTGTATAGAGAATGACAAGGATACGCTGTTGTCATATTAAAGTTTAGATTTAGAGAATCGTGCCAAAATCGACACCAATTTCAGAACACACCAACCATCCCTTTTGTTTGACAACGACAGCTGACGCAGAAAATTGAAAAAAAATATTGGAACAATAAATAAAGATAAAATTCAATATTTGAATAAAACAAAAAATGCGAAATTGTTATTTTTGCTAGGTTTTAATATTTCAATTATAACAGAAAAAGTAATACAAACCAAAGTTTTAAATAAATTTAATAAAATGTTATTAAACAAAAATCGTAATGAACTCTTATTCAATTCGTTATCGTATTGAGCCATTACGATATATTCGTCATTCGTATTGGTATCGTAATACCCGTATTGTTGCATCCTTAATATAAAGACTAAACCTTGGAAACAAGGTCAATCGGTTTTTCTTGATGGCCTGTGAATGCAAGCCATAAAATACTCCAGTTGCAAGTATTATATATAAAGTACCTATATATGAACTGATATTGTTCTTCTTCCAAGGTTTATTATTAGAAAACATATCTTTCAGCTACCTATAAGTAAAGTTTTTTCACGATCCAACCTATACAAATATGGCGTAATAACCATATTTGGTTACATGTAACATGGCATATTTCATATTAGAATATTTTTTAAACTTTCAATTCTTTTTATTGCCAATAAATAAAAATCATAATTATTAAGTTGTATAGGCAACGTTATTGCGATTAGTTTTCTTTGTAAAAATATATGATAAAACATACATTTTGTAACGGACCTTATAAAAAAGACGGACTTAACCTCATACTAAAATGATGTGAAGCATGCAAAGTCCCTTAATTTCGTTTGTTGTACACTACCTACACTCACATAAATGCACCAGGTTTCCAGGTGTCCGACACACGGTTCCCAACTTAAGAGGTTTTGCCCCCTGATTTAGGGGCTAGAAGTGGAACTTTTTATAGAAGGGTTCTTTTAGAGGCTTTTAACAAAACTTGCAATTAAATCGAAAACAAAGCGTGTGTTTTCTTTCAGTTTTGTGCGTAGAATAGAACGCACCACGATATGAAACGACTGAACCGACTGTGTGGCGGGTTGTTTCCTAAGGCTGTATGGACTAAAGTTCTTCGCCTATCCCCAATGGATAAAATAATAAAACAACAACATAACAATCATGTTTCATTCCACCAATCAAAACAGCTAAAATAACAGTCTGTCAGCTCATTTTCGATTGATTTTCCTTTCGGAAACTGTATTTATTCAATGAAATAATTTACTGTAACTAAATATTAAGTTTTAATTTATGAGCAACGAAAGAATTTAGGTAATAAGTAGGTACATATAAAATTCTATATTTAGGGGATTTTAGGGGCATTTAAAAAATACTTAGGGAAAATATTTGGTAAGGGTTGGTAACACTGGTCCGACAGCCAGCTCAGCCACAGACATATAATACTATACTAAAGTAATGATTTTGATAGTTTGATTAAATGCTCCTTCTCGCTCGCCTCGCTTCCCAGTCGAGCTATCGACTGGGAAGCCAAGGCGTAGTTTCGTTGCATGTGTGTGCGTGTAAAGGTGTATGTACATGGCGAGGCGTAGTTTTATCGGCTTCACTTTTTTGTTCGGCAGACTCCGTCTTTACTTTTTAT